TTTTTTTTTCTAAATAGAAATGAAATATTTTTTAAATTATGTAGTATATTATATTATAAGTAATTGTTTAAAAGTATGTGTAGTAAATTATTTTATTTTTATTTTAAATTATTCATTTTTTGCTGATTTTTTAATTTTAGACACTAGCTGTCATAAACTATAATGCTACATACTTTGCCACTCAAAATATTTTTAATTCATTGAGTAAACTTGACAAAGAGTATGATGTTCCAGTTCAAACTAGTCAGTCAAATGTTTTAAGAGAACTTGATATACTCTTAAATAATTTAAAATTAAAGATCAATGGTGATATTGATTTATTTGCTGCTACTATTAAAGTAAGTACCTATTTAGTTCTCTTTTCAATATTACCAGTGTTTGAAAACAACTTATTAATCATCTTCACATTCATATTTTGCCGATAACACTAATTTATATCAAATAGATTGTGATTAACGGATGTGAACAAAATTAATATTCTTGAAGAAAATATACATTTGAACAATTGAAATGAAATTTCTTTTTTTTTATGTCATTATAATATTATTATGTTATGTTATTTTAATATTAATACCTATCAAAAATTCATATAATTATACAAAATTTAATATTTTGCATGAATCGTATTACAATTTTAAAAATATGTGGCATGGGTCATACTAAAAATTYAGATTACTGAATTTGGTATAATATTTTATTTTATAGATTTTAAGGCTTTTGTGATTAAATTTATATCGGATATTTATCATTTTTATAATTATATTTATACAGATAACTACAGGGAGGAAACAATTTAAATTTCAAACTTTAATATAAAAAAACAAAAATAAACAAAATATTTTTAAATATATTGTTTATCATATTAATTTTATGTTTTGGCCTTGCTTTGATTTCAATAAATTTGTTTTTCCACTAATAATTGTATACAAATATTACGTACATGATTTAATTGGATTTATAAGTAAATTTGTTTTGATTTGTAATTATTTTTTTTTATTTTAGTTGTCTTAACTGTACATATAAAATCTTTCATATAAAATTACTATATTTTTGGAAACAGGTGTTGTCCATTTTATGTTTTTTACAATTTATTCATATTATACACGCATTTTCACATACATTCTATATTATAAATAATTTGTACTATCATATTCTAATCTTATCTAATAAATTTTCTTTTTTTGTATAATATCTTAAATTTTATAATTTTAGTTGTGAAATAAAATTTTAAAATGTACTTTTGAAATAAACTTCATAGGTAATGGACCAAAATGGACTTATGCCACTTTATGGTACTCCATATCTTGGATCAACCATAAACTTATTAAAGACATCAAAAATAATCAAGACATATAATGCTTTTAAAGGAACCCAGCTTAAGCTAATACTTATGTTTGAAAATAAACAAGAAGTCTTATTTAAACCAAAATGGTATGTACATTTAATTAAAATATTATTTTAGCATAGAATTTTTAATAATTTGAATTCCAAAATATATTCATACAATTCAAACAATTATTATTGTTAAAGAGTTTAAAATAAGTTAGTCATTATTAACTCTATGTATAATATGTTTAAGGTACCTAGAGTCTGAAGTTATTGAAGGAAGTGTTTATGCTGGTAAAGATCGTTATAATGGTGAAATAATTGCATTTTATATTTCTCTTATTCTTGGATTTCCACGTGTTCCAATTGTGGTGAAAAGAATCTTAGATTCAACAGAATTACACAAAACAGCAAATATTGGATTAAAAAAAACAA